CAGTAGAATGTCGTATTACGATCGCCCGTGGAACTTTCGATACGAGTTGTATCATTTTTCATTCGAATAATCATGCATCACTGTACGCGAATTGTTAACAGTAGCGTTCCACGCATTTTTCACTGGTTTTTTGTTGTTTGTTTGCCTTGTGGATTGTAGCTGCCAGTTTCTGCAAGCCTTTTACTAATCGTAGGATTTTTTATTTGCCACGTTCACTTCCACGGTGAAACTAACATTACTTTACGCTGTAATATTTTCGATTCTTGCATCACGGAAGTTTCCTGAAATACTCTTTAACAGTCTTTTCACTCTACATTACCATACACTTTTAATTTGCACGATTCTTCTATGATACAGTTTACGGAAAAAGAAAAGAAATCTTAATCTATGCTATTATCTTACAAAAGCTCGATGAAATCGGAGTTGTTGGGGTCCTGCCCTTCCATTTTATTACAGCCAATGTTTTACGCGGTTGTTCCAGTTAGTTATCTTGCTACAAAGAGCGAAGAACCACTGTCGTGTAATAATTCCGAGACAAAAACCAGGGAAGGTCAATTTCTCGAACTGTCCGCATACGTTTAAATCTATGGCCGCCTTCTTGGAAGTTGTGGACGAGCCCTTAAGGGGCTTCTCGCTTACGTCATCCGATCTTTGGACTATCCTCGGCCCCCCGAAGACCTATTACCTTATTTACGATTCGCATGGCCATTATCTCTTGGCAACAAAGTGAACCAGCCGGTTTTTCGATACGATCGTGCGTGCAGACGCACACGGTCGCGCACGCACACGTACACGTACACACACGAGGGCGTGCTCCTTCATTGATTTCGCTGGTGTGAAAGGGGAATCGGGCAGACAATGAATACAAAGGCCGCGGTACAACATAGAGACCGGGCAGAGAAGCGTGCTCTCGTCGAGGCGCCTCGAGAACGGAAGACTTTTGTCTTCGCTCGTTAATAACAGTTTTGACACAGCAGGAAAGGCACGGATGATTGGACGGCTTATGGACGAGGCAAAAGGAAATTATTGAAAAATTGATTTTTACGATTACGAATCGTTTCTTTGATCAGAACGATGCATTGATGCGTGCCGTCATCTTGCGCACGCGTCCCAACGGCTTCCACGTGCTTCAGCGCCGGTGGATGCGTATGATTCATTAAGCTCAAAGAGTAAAATCCAATATGTAGTCGTATTGATGAATGTTCCGAAAAAAAAAGAATAAGAAGGTCGTAATTAAAAAGATAGAAAACGGAGGAAAAATTGATGCGTCTCTGTGTGCCGAACCGATATTAAATTTACATCCGCGCGCGGGGAATTTTGGTCATCATTGTTCATTATTGACATAAAAGTGCAGTCGTTTAATCCCGTGAAGAATAGTAGACTGAAGTTAATTGTCGCAGGAATGAAAAATAATAAAATTAAGAGTCGGGTCGAAACGGACTCAGAGTTCGCCTCCCAATCAAAATCAAGTATTCTCTCCTATAGATAGTATGGATTATAATAACAGCCGGCATTTTACTTTATTCAAAACTGATATTCGTATATGGATTATATTTAGGAGCAATGTACTTCTCGTCTGCTAATTTAATTAATATTGATCTCCTTAATTGTATTCCTTACTTGCACAGCGCCGTATCTATACGATAGACGAAACGTTGTGTTTGAAATAAAATGAAATACCTTCGGTATTTACAAGCGCAAGAAAATTCGATAAAGAAATTGTTATTTGATGAAATCTAAATTGGAAAGTTCGCAGCTACTTCTGGATTTATTTTAGAATCACTGTTACCGAAAAGAAAGTCGATAGTATAAATGTTACCTGGGGAAACATCGTAGCCAGAAATGGACTGTTTTTACGAAAACTTGTGACTGTTGCCCGGATCGTCTTTTGGTTTCTAAATCGAGAACTTTATTCGGGTTATTTATGAATTTTTAATCGAGTCGGAGAATGTTTATTTCTTTCGATAATAATCGACGATATTATTATTTCATAATTTAATGTCGAGTGTCAATAATAATTCTCGTCAAATAGAATCTTACAGCTGAATCTTTAAAACGTGTGTCTGTAAATAGAGTCTATCAGCACGGTCTGATGAAACGTTAAGATCGTCGGAAAGCATCGGTGTTGCTATTCTTAAAAATAAGAACGTTACCGAAATAAAGAATCCAGGACATATCGCGATGGTCAAACATAGGTAGAGACGAGGAATTACGAGCAACAAATTCTGGATCAATAACTGGAATTATCGTCGATGGTGAAACGTTGGTCAGGTCGCGCGAGAATTTTCATGAAAACGAATTGTCGTTGGCCGTATCGCGTAACGGATGTGTGTACGTTGCTGGGTTAACCATCGGAACAACAACCTGTTCGATGACTGTTCCGTTTGATGATTGCAACAAGTGAGGCCCACCGCTATCCTCTTCCCCGACCTGTTCCCAGACCATTTTACCACCGACAGCCACTCCCCGTTTCGAATTCAACAAGTGGCCAAATCATTCTACGCGAGACTACGTAGCCCCGAAAAACTGGAATTTTCCAGCCAGCGGACAAGTCATTGACCATTTAACGCCGCGCGAGCCAGAGTATTTCTCTTTATCGAGAGATTTTGTCATTCGGCCCCGAAATTCCTCTCGTTTTGTCGACTGCGCACAATACTGATGCTCGATGACGCCCGTAATCGCATCGAATTAATGATTCGGCCGCGAAAGCGAATCGTTTTATTCCCACGATAAATTGGAGGAAACGAAAACACGTTTCGGGGTTAACGGAATAATGATATCAAAGGAAAATGATAGAAATGAAAATTATCGAACAAAGGGACGAGTTATAGAGACGCGATGGAAGTTGGAAATAACTCGATGAAAATTGTTTCACCGACTTGTACTTCGATCTCGAAGTGCTCGTGGAAGTTACAATTTTATGGATTAAGTCCGAACAAGAGGGAGGCTAATTAATTTATCGTTATATCGGACAGACGCGGACTAAATTTTTATCTGCGTTGAAGCTTCGAACGGAAGACAAAGGAATCCGTGTTCGTTATTGTTATCTGTACAATTTTGAAACAATAAAATTATCCGTGTACAATGATAATTGGAGCTCGTTACTCGTTGAATCGACCGAGAAAATTTTTCAATAATGTGCCATAACAAACGGTTGAAAGTCACAAATACGAGCGTTGGAATTATTTCGTAACCCATAGTCTTTGCCAGTTACCAGAGTTCTCTCGTTTTAAAGTTTTGCAGCGTGTGTGCACTGGTGGGATCGGTTTCTCTTAATATTCCCGCGTGCGGGTTAGGAGCGTACTCACGAAATTCGATTGACATCGCCGCAGAAGAGGGCGGTGTGTAACGTAATCATTACTGTCATCGGAAAGCCCGATCCTTTTCTCCGTAATTTCAACCGGTGGAGCGGCGTCGGTATACGGCGGCTGAAGAACCCGTAGACTCAGACCTCGTGCTACCTGGTGGAATGGGTCTCATTAAGGACGCCTTCATGGCCCTTCATCCTTGGCTCTTCAGGCCTCGCCTCTCCCTCTCATCCCATGGAGACGCTCGTCTTTTATACCTGGATGCCCTCTGCTCGCGTTTCTCGGCTCCGTTTGTATGTTCGCGTGCGCCTTATGCGGCCGAAGGCCATTTGATGGTGGTTGCTTGTCATCTTCGACTTTAACCTCGTTACGATTTACAGCCGTTTCTGAAACGAACGAACGAGCGAACGAACTCGCAACACTCGCGGTTTTCCTTTAAATACGAATTTGTTAAGATTTATTCGACGTCCGACTTAAGGTCCAACGTAACGCGAAACGCGAACGTTGTACGCGACACTACGGTGCAACGAGGTTTACCGTGCTTTACGCGCCCTTTAACGACTTCTTTCGCCCGTGCATTTTGTAAATGCACTTTCATTGTTGCGCGACGGGAATTGCGCAGTTCGATAGAAATCTCGCTTGTTACCGTCGTGGCGCGAGACTGAGACATCCTGCGAACCGAGTTCTCTCTTTTCCACGCACGAACGTTACACGGTGAACGTGAATTTTTCATTTTCAAACTCATCAAAATAAAGAAATCAATGTTCTGTATTGTTTCATTCCCTCACGAGCGACGCAGAGAAACGCGTACGCCAATGCAAATTGGCCCGGATGACCTGAAACTTTTTCAAGCGGTCTCCTCTCGGTACGATGCCATTAAGATCCAATTAGAGCTTGATAACTCGGTGAAATGGTGTAACACAAGTAAAATGAAATTAAATATTGCTAATGCCACCTAATGACACACTACCGTGTTAGAAACCCGATAATTTCCCCATACAAGATTGATAGTTCCACATTCACAGTTGCGCAGTCCATTTAGAACATAGTTTTTCTTACAATTTAACCTTTGTCGAACGGACTTCCAACGTTTCCAACGCGCTCCTAAAGACGTTGTTCGCCGTACAACGCTGTCTAATATTAGCAGAAAATGTTACTCGACTTTTTAATCTTTCCAATGCTTTTAAATCGAATTTTGAAAGAAGCTAGTTCACAGTGTTCTAGATCCGGCCGAAACGAAAGCTTTAATTTTATTCAATAATATAATTTTTTTAATAATAAAAAAATCTTGTCTGCTCGCGCTAATTGAAAAAAGGAGCGTACCCGTTTTAAAATTGTTCCGCGAGAGCAATCGAAAGCTCATATTTACATTAAAGGAAAAAAATATTTCCTGGTTCCTCTGCCAGGCGAAACTTGATTGCTTTCCGTTCCGGGTACGCCGGTAGGTCAATAAAAAGAAGATACACCTGTATGCAAATATCACATGCGTCACTCGGACGAGCACAGCCTCTAATCCCAGAAAAAATTTTCGAGAGCTGGGCTCCTTAGCGATCGCGTGGTACAACCCATATCGCTTCCCCGTTCTGGCTGATCTATTTTTCGTTCTTTGTCGCGGCTGCTTTGTCGTGTATGCTAATCGAATTCCTCCCTCTCTCATCTTTTTCCTTTTTTTTTGCTTTTTTTTTGTTCCAGGGTGGCGGAGGAAGCGGCGGGGCTGCGGGAGGGCTGAAATTCACGGTGGCTGACACTTGCGAGAGGATCAAAGAGGAATTCAATTTCATCCAGCAACAGAACCACTCGTGAGTCTCTCTTTTCTTTGACTTCCATCGTCCGTCTCTCTCGCTCTTGCGCACGCTCGTCTATTCATCCCTTCCGTCTCGTTCGCGTTTCTTGAAGATCCACGATTATTGACGCCGATGTTTCCCGGGTTGTCTTCTCCTGCTTCCCTCCGTCCTACCGTCGTGTTTCGCGGAGCTTGTCGACGCTGCGCTCCGATCGTTTCGAAGTCTCTTAAACCCATTCGGTCTTCATTCATTTTGCGATTCGCGTGGACGAACATCGTCATTTGTTTGGCACGGTTGAAATTAATTTCTGGAGAAGACTGTACTTAATTATAGAAGCATACAAAGTTTGCGATATACTAAAAGCGGACCTTATAACAAAGCATCGTATTTCGTTCAGATTCATAAGCGGTTGTTGCAAGATTACATACGCTCCGTTCGAAAACTTTTGTTCGCCACTGTACCCACAATGTGAAAGTCATGAGAGAATGGCTGACGTGTAATTATATGTAGCTAAATATTATGGTCGTAACAATTGAGACACGTAAGGATATACACACAGCTTTAAACAATTTGTTTCGCGTTAAAATCCAGTTCCTCCCTAACGCTGAGCTTAACGTTATTACGACGAAGTCGAAGAAAACGAAAGTGGTTTGGTTCGCGTTTCGGATGTTCGGATTTCTGATCTTGAACCGAGGGTCTACTGTGACCTATCGCGAGAGTTCTTTATGGCTCGAACGGCGTTTTCTCGAGCGCCGATAACGAGCGAAAGTCGCCGCGGTATCGAGCGAAAAACGTCGCGTCGGAGGGAAAAACGAAACGTTCGGTTTCACTGTCGCGAAAGAAGAAACGGGACGTCGGGGACGTCGGCGATTTATGGTAATTGATTATGCCCGGACGATAATTAATCGCCGTTGCGGCAACTTCTGTCCAGACGCAGGTGATGCTGTAACGGTTAACTGTTATTGGAACGACGCTCACTTTCGAACGAGCTCGCTGAAATAGGACCGTGTGTACAAATGTCTGCGTTTACGTATAATTAGTTATCTTCCGCGCCGCACTTGCGATACCGTTGAAACATCAGACGAACGGTCAAATTTGCAGTCCGCCGTTATTAACCTCTTGTTACCATATACAGCACGACCTACGCAAAGCGTTGCAAATTGTTTTCTCCTAAACTAATCTCGATATCGACTCGAATTTACCTTAGATTATATGGTTCAAGGTGGTTCGATCTTTTTAAATAGAGTTAATCGCCCCTAAAATATTTACCATCGGTAAATAAACACCTTATATAGTGATAACGACTGTATTGCATCACGCGAAAAGTACAGACTGGTGTAATCGCGGAGCACAACTAGGTCGCTATTAAATCTAACCTATGTACGCTTGCCTTTTATGCTGAACAAGTACTTGGCGCCATACATGGCACCATATTGTGCACGATCTTTCACATTCGCGTGCTAAAAAATTATTAAATACAAAAATACTCCATAGACTGTGATAAAACATGTAACAATTATCAGAGGTATTGTCGAAAGTTCAAAATATCAGCTCCACGCTGGGACCCCTATTATGATAATCAGATATCTTGAAATAGCATTGATTTAGTCGTATCCGAGTCAGAGGGACAAATAAAAGCTAAAAGCAAATCCACATCAGCAGCTAGTATTCCATTAAAAGTTGTTAGAATAGAAATAACGAATCTAACGAGTCTAATATATGACGAGAAATAAGGTAATAATACAAATATCCGGATTATAGTGGGAAAATGATTTGAGAATATGCAATCCTCTTTAAACGAACGCAATAATTGTTTATAAAATTTCAAAAATAATTCACTTTAAAAATTTAATTTCGTATCGCGTTTCTCTATACTTTTACGTAGATCGCGAACCACGTCTGTTAAAACTTTTATGCATTTTGTGCCATTTCTGACTTCATAAATTTTGCGCGGGACGAACAAAAAAAGTCACACAGTAAGGGATTAACGCAGCTACTTTCGTTCCAGGTACGCGATGCTCGTGATCGCGATATTTCTGCCACAGAGACATTCTGCAACGAATTTTCTCGGTAATTCGTGCACCCTTCCAACTCGTGCATTACATTTTTCACCTCATGATTCTGGATAGTTGCAAAGCAACAGTCAGCTGTTTTCATTTTCAAGGAGAAGCAATTATAATGACATTACGGGTTCACAGTCGTCTCTTTGTAACGCGAATTTGTTTCGTTCTGATGGCCCAATTAATTAGGAATTAACGTTCTTAAGATGTCTTTTACGCAGCGCGTGCACAAAATGATCTTTGCGTTTCAAGATTCGATCGTTCGAATTGTACGAAGATGAAACTTTTAGCTGGTTAGAATTGAACGACGCGACGATCGATGTTTTACAAATGAAAGAAATGTTCGTGCCCCCGTTTCTCTTTTCTCGCTCATTATACTTTAATCTCATATGGTCAAATATTCATATTGGTTTCCCTCCTCTGTGACAAAGCAGGGGAAACTGTCCGGGAAGTTTTGCGCGCCGCTCTATATCGACCACCTTTTATCATAAATAAAAGCATTCTTATTTTAGAACTCGGGAACTGTTGGTTCTTGAACCCTGCGTTCGCAGACGCCACTCCATTTATTTTTACAATTGTCACGCGAATGCAAACTCCGGTTCGCGAATTTATGAACACTTTATATGTTCGGACGTATCGAAGCGAACAGCTTTTAAAGACAAACACGAAAGTTAACGCTTTGATGGTCGCTCGTTTCGCGCAAAGACTATTACCCGCCAACAAAGACATTCACAGAATGTTTCGATACGATGAAAACATTTTATAAATGTTTCAAATATTCAAATATAATTTAGATTATTCGATTTCGCTTCTCGGAGTAACTATAATCGAAAAGTGTCCTGATCCGAACAAAATTAAGACCGTAAATTGAGTATCGTACACAGGGGGTGGGGTCTTTGGTCGATAGATAGGAATATAATGCATGGAACGAGCGTATTTACCGATATATTTTCCTCCTTTGTTCGCGAATAGGTTTTTTGCATTTTCTACCGACGAGGCCGACTACCGCAACCACTAACGCCGCCATAATATCATTTCTTCTTATTCCTTTAGCTTTTTCGCCGGAGAACTCGATCTTACTTCCAGAGACACACCGAGCGCTTCTTCCTCGAATTCAAGATGCTCCAAATCCCAAAGGGGAAGGCAGCAGACTTGCCCCGCGTATCCATGTGTAGACACACACGCGCACACACGCACAGACACATAGAAATATATATATGCATACGAGCGTGCACCATTTCCACTGTAACGCATGCCTGACTAGTTCCGTCCTCAATCGCTTTTCACTTTTCAGACTGAAGATCGAATGCGAGAAGCTGGCCAGCGAGAAGACCGAGATACAGAGGCATTACTTTATGGTAAGACATTTTGTACGTTCGTTTTTACGTCTTTTCATCTTCGTCGGATATGCTGATTCGCCGCAGTTGAAAGGATCGCCGAAATCGCAAACAGTGGGAGGATAGGAACTGAATTGGTTCGGGTGGAGCAGTGGTTCTTAACCTTTCTAACCGCGCGGCACGGTTCAGAGGAAGATTCCTAATCTTTTCGAGTTCGTGGCGCGGTTCAAAGAGAAAAGGCTCGTCGCGGTTCTTAATCCTTTAAGAGCGTGACAAACAAGCCACGGTATACTTAGCTGTTTTCGAGACTGCTTATATCGCCTTTCGATGTATTATTTTTTATACGAAATTCCAATTCGGTATACTTTGCTCGCCCAGAGACGGTTTTATATTATAACAAAGCGAGGTTTAAATTTATTGACGAGCCACAAAAAAATTTGTATATTTTCCGGGCACCGATCTGTTATTGGTATTGCAACCAACGAGGTATTCCCGTTTGGGCAAGTAAATAAATTTTCCTGCTAAATATTCGCGGTATAACGTAGTTGGTTACGTGGCGCGGGGGTGCGCCGCAACACGATGGTTAAGAATCACTGGGGGTAGAGAGTGCTGCATTATCCGGGCTCCGTTCGTAACCTATGGATTCGCGATTGCAGTCGGTTTGTCTGGCTAGAATTTTACCGAAGCTGAGTTAAGAACGTCCCTTGTCAACAGATTTCTACGTATCGTGGTATCTTCTCTTTGGAAACACGATTCAGCGAATTTTTAATACCGATATCTAGAACATCAGATTTGCTCAAATATTTTACCAGCCTCGATTAAATTATTGTAAATTCTATTTTCAACCTTTAGACGAATGGTCGCGTTATCGTTCCGAGATATTATAAGATTTACCATAATTTCGTTGGGCGAAATTTTCCTGGCAGCATCGCGCGCGCGTCGTTCGTTGCGAAATTATGGACGCCATGATCGTGGCCAGGGACTCGGGTTTTATAAACAACGTGGTTACAAGGCCATTATTGAATTCGGTAATCTTTGTCGCAAGCCCCCTACGGGATCGGAGAAAAACGATCAATATTGTTCTCGCTTCGTACTGCCGGCTCTACGATTCAGTTCTCTTATCAGCGCGAAGGCAATTAGCTCAGCCAACCGCACTAATCGTATCGTCGTCGGTAAGGAGCTTAATTTGGACTTACCAATATTAAAGTGCAGTATTAACGTAGACCAAAGTATTTACCCGGGAGACCATTTCATTTCCGACTTCTTTATTAAATATTTATTATAGCGGGACGGCTGGAATTCGTTGCGCCAACGTTGATACCTCCGACCCTTGGAAATTCCTGCGATCGAGCACGACACGTTTTAAAAGCTCATCGTGGTTCCTTCCTCCGGTTTCACGGGTTTAATCTGAACCTCCGGTTCGGAGCGCAAACTGCCAGCGCAAATAGATGTGTATTTTTCATCGTTGGGCGACGTAACCGCTGCTTTTCCTTGCTCCGGCTACCGCGCGTTGCCCCTCTCGTTGGAACAATTTTTGCGGCAAAATTATTTCGCGTTGAGAAAAATGTTTCTAACGATTTCGAGAGCCGCGGTCTGCGAGCGAAACAATTGAATTCCTTTTTGCATTTATGAGGAGTTTAACTATTTAAAAATAATTTTCCGAAAATGTTACTCGAAGACTCGCAAAAATTCACGACGTTACAAGGCAGTCGGACGTGTCAGTTTGCGTTTAAAAATTTTCGAAGCAAACGTAAAAAATTGTTGATCGACAACATGCGATAAGATCTGATTCACGGTTCACCTTCGTCACGATACTCCAGACAACGCAAAAAAGTACAGAGAGACGACTCGGTTTGTTGAAATGCGCCGATACAGCATGTCGCTTTGAGATATTGGCGTGTATCGATGTTACGTTCGAAAGCTTCATGCGTCTTCCTGGTTTTTGTTCCGATAGACAATTCGTCCCCTTTGTCGAAGGTTGTCTTGGAATCGATACGCTATAAAAGCGAAGGAATAGAGTCTTCTTTTCTTCGAATTTATTTCTGCCTCGTAAATTTTAATTATAACGGATTATTGGCAAAGGTCTTGCGAAGACAATTTCGACCCGACGTGGAGTTTCAACGTAGCAATGCATAAATCAAAAGTGTAGAATATATTTTATTCGTGGGGGTAATTACTTGCTCGTTTAATTTCGAAGAGTGCGTGGCAATTTTATTTTAATAAATAACGCTAGAAAGGAGAAGATACGAAATTGTGACATTAAGTTTCCCGATAAATACTAAAGCATTATCCTTTTACTCGAGGATCCTTCGTTTGTTAGCAGTATTCGATTATTTTTATGAAATTGAGTTGACGCGTAAATTGTATCGATCTATTTACGGCTCCTCAGTTTTCAGTGGCTCGGACGTGATCGGATCGAGAACTTGCGGGAAAGGGATTGGTTAGATAGTCCTCTGGTGGTGAGAACGGGAGTTGTCGCCACAATTTCATTATCTCAGACATTGTTGAAAGTGTCCGTTTTGTCGAACACGATGCCGTGCTCCAGATCGTTGCTGCGGGCTACGGGTAGTCGAAACTGATAATCGATACCGATAGTAGACTGGCAAAACTGATTATTAAATCAGAATACTATATATAACTACGAATTCAAATAATAATTAGAATCATTATATAATTATTTTCCATAAAATTTATATCAGACAAAATCTGAAGACCGCTGACGCGGTACGAATACTTTTACGACTCGTTATAAGATATAAAGGGGTTTTAAGTTTTCACTGAGATTCGATGAACGTCGTATTCAAAAGATTTTCGAAGTCGTTTCCCATCAAATCGGGGAATCGTTCCGTGAAAAAAGGTTTTATTCCACGGATTTGAAATTACGTTTCTTCTCGCCGCGGAATCACGCCCTTTGAGGATTGCATTTTAGAATGTCTCGTGTCTCGAGAATCTCCGGCACAACTAAATTTTTTTGCACCGAGAAGCTGTGTACGCGGACAGCTACGCGAAGAAAAAGAAGTCGGTACGTCTGGTTTATTTGTGTCTGTATATAAATTCCCGGATATTTGAGAATATGCCCTTACGTTGGACGTTATGCTGTTCTGCAAACTGCTGTGACAGTGTACGAAAACGCACGTTCCAGCTCGGAGGGTCAACAACCCTGCCTTGATACTCGGATCATGGGTTTATTTCCACCCCCTGGAAAAACCTCGGGTTGGAAGCCTCCTATTATTTTAAACGCGCCCGCTGTCTGCGAGCGTGATCGTTCATAAACTCAGGTGTTTCCTTATGCGTCGCGTTACTTTTAATGTGTCGCAATAACGTTCTCATTTCCATAGAAAGAAAGCAACAAATACAGTGAAAATGTAAAGCATCGGAGTAACGTTTATTCGCGAAGAATATTTAATGTCATTTTACATTAATGTTTTCGACCGTGAAATTGTTCTCCTTCCAGAGAAAAATGTCACTTCGAACCGGACGCGGGCAAAGTTTATATTCAAGCAAGAATTTGTTAAAAATAAATAGAGGGTAACGAGTTGGTTGTTTATCCGTTACTCGTTAAACGAAAATAAACATTCCAATTATGAAATAAAATATTTCACAATGAACAGATCAAAAATTCAACTGATCGATCGAATAAACGTCATAAATACATCGATGCAATGTTGGCTTTACTGGTTATGCGTTATCGTTCGAATAAAATTTTGTTCAGCTTTGTTTTAAACCTAGAAAATTTGTGAAAAATTTATATACCCTTCGACTTTGTCATATTCTCGAACCATCGCAAACAGTGTCAAATACAAGGTATTAGGAGCTACTAAACACTTTAGTATCAGCTTAGTCAATCGATAAATTATCATCGTGTAATAATTAAACGTTCGAATGGTTGAAAATGGCGCACCTCGATCGGATAAGATTTAATTTATCGAAAGTGCGTTTTCATTTTGAGCCCCCGAGAACGGCAATTTGCCACAAACCGATACAAACGGAGTGCGAACGAAAAAGAAGGGAAAAAATGATACGAAATCGTCGCGATCATCGATCCGTGTGCTCGAAGAGCAGTTACGCGATACGGCTTCCGTCGCAACCCAGCTTCCTCGTTCGCGAGATCGTGCGCCGATGTTAACTGTACGTTTGATCGTAATTGTCGCGAACTGTACCATCTCTGTAAACTGCTACACCGATGTGACACCGTGCAAGCAACCAAGCAGCAAGCTGGGCCGAGTGGTTGGAGCTTGGGAGGAGGAGGAGGAGGTGGAGGTGGAGAATGACGGGGGGGGGGTACCAGTGGGGGCGGATAAGGGGGCAGGGGGTGTGGGGAGGTGACAGAGGGGTTGATGGGGGGTTGGGGGTTGAGCCGGTAATCGATATCTCCAAAGTAAACGAAGAGAGAGTGAGAGAGAGACGACAGAGAGACAGAGACCGCGGAAAAGCGTAGAAGCGGAGCGACGGAAGGGCAGCAGAGAGAAAAGGGGAAGGGACAGAGAAGGGGGGAATTAGAGACAGAGAGAGAAATTGATGTCGAGGGTTTGTCAACTACCGACAAGTATTATATACGTGCAGCCCAACGGGAAGGAGTGTGTCGGTGCAACGTATGTGCAGACTGCGAACGTGTTTCTGATATTCTAATTCCACCCCTGTGTATTTCAACCAGCCACCTTCCCGACCCCCTTCTACGATTCATCCTCCGCGATTTTCATTAGGGTAACGTGCCGCGTAAATCCCAGCGCCGCTTCAATATTTCCTTCCTTTTTTTCCTCTCCCTCCGTATCCTCCTTTCTCTCCCACCCCCCTCTGCGTTGGCTTCTCCACTCTCGTCTCGCATTCCGTCCTTTTATGAAGTTCCGTGCACGGATCATCGCTTCGCGACACGTCCTTATCCGATACCACCCCTTTCGAACGGACGTCGACTCGTTAGGTTCGTGGATTTTTCGTTAAACGACGTTACGGTCGCCACGGCGGTTATCTCGAGCCTTTAATCGGTCGAGCGGCGCGAACACGCGATACACGCGTCGTTACTC